AACCTCTTTGATGTCGAAAGCTGTGTTTTATTTGTACACTTGGGATAAGCCCAGAGGCTGTCTGGGCAGCCAGGAAGTTCCAGAAAGGAATTTCCCCCCATCAAACTAGCAACCACAATAACATTTTTCCCTTCCCATGTGGAGAATGTGTGTGCTCATTTCTAACACTTTTGCCTAAGACGTTTCCCGCTTTTGCAGGATTATGGGCCCTTTCTCTCTGATGCTGCCCTTCTAAGTAAGCATTGTAGGTTGAGGTTTCTTGGTTTTGACCTAAAAGCTTCAATCCCAGGGCAGCTGTTGAGTTGGTTGACCCTCTCTGTGGGGCTAGGATGTTTATGTTGTCTTTGGACTCCAGGCTAGCTACATGGCAGGACTCAGAACCACTGTGTGACCTATGCTGAGGACTGCTGCCATGAAAGCATTTGAAAAGGAAGAGAGTTACAGTGGCTGTATTTGAAGAGAAGAAGGTCAGAGATCCTTTAGCCAGATGACATAATTCCTCTTCTCCAGGGGTTAGAGGGAAGAACCTATTTAAAGCAAGAATCGTCTATTGTCTTTGCTTGTGATTCTGAGGAGCCAGGCTACACTGAGCCTGGAGCTTCCATCTAGCCAAGCTAAACTGTGGGCCCTGTGGGCACTGTCCAAGCAGCTCATTCCCAGGTGGGTGTCATGGGGCCCCTTCCAGGCCTCTTTGCAGAGGAACAAATACCAGTTAGAGGAGCATGGTGTAAATGGCCATAATAACCCTGCTCTCCCTCGCTCTTGGTGTATTAGCCACACGCTGACTTTCCAATTGGCCCTAGCAATTTGCAGGGAGAGAATGGGCAGCAAGGGAGTTATGACAGAAATGGGGCTGCCCAGCAGTGCTGTTAAGAGGATCATCTCTTTTCCTTACTGCTGTCACATGGCCTGTGCTGGCATGGACATTGTTTCTCTATCAAATAGTAAGGATCAGTAATTGCTAAATATCTTTGTATTTAATTTCTTGTCTGCTTCTTTTTCTCTTCTCATGGCAATCAGAAACTGTATCTGCAAAACGTGCATACTGAATAGTTCATTGCCTGGATGTGCCTAAAAGAGATGTATCTAAAAGAGAACAGATAACTGTCAATCTCAGCCATCTCTGACCAGCCCTTCCTGATGCTCCCTGAATGTCCAAAGTGTTTGCATGACAGCGGCTGGCTCTGCGCTGTGACGGTCTGTAGCCATTCAAATAAGAGTGGCCAGTTCTCCCCTCTGGGTGTCTATAGCCTTAGTGACGGGCTGCCTGGTGACTGCACATGGGATGGTTCCCAACTGCTTGCCCCACACTCCTGGTATAAAGACCATGCAGCCAGAACTCGGAGATCATGCGTGTGCACTGCAGCTTCACCCCTGCAGCTGGTTCATGGGGTGCCTATGGTTCATATTGGTGGGGATGCAGCATTGGTCGGCCTGTGTAAGGGCTGGCATTGCACAGAAGCAGAGTCAGAGATGATCCCTCCCAGAGGAGCCTACAGGAGAGATGCCCAGTGGTACCTGCCACAGGTGATCAGTGGCTGGCTCAGGGGCAGAGCTCAGTGCCCTTTGCCTGTTTTGTCAGTCATACTCTTCTGGGAACAATTATCATTGTATCTGCGGTCTGTCCTTCTCCTCTGCTTTTATTTACATACACTGGACTGTGGCCGAGATAGCTGTTGGGTGGCCCTGCTCTGTGGCCCCATTCAAAGCATGCCAGGCTTTGGGCCCACATCTCCCTCCAAAGCAAGCTCTAGGCTCAGCTTGCTTCCTGCCTTGCTATTCTCTTTTAGCGTTGCCCTTGGCAGATAGATGCCGCTTCTGTGCCTAGCACTTGCTGTAGCTCCAGCGTCTATCTCAGACATCACCCAGTCAGAGCCATAAGCGAGACCGGGCGGATAGGGATTTTCCATCCCCTTCTCTGCCTCCTTTGGTGTAATGAGGGGAGATCCCCAATAGATGGCACTTGAACCTCTGCCTTGGATGGGTTTTTAATTGCTTCCAATATCGGGATGTTCAGAGCAACGTCCGCACAGATGCAGCATGATCCAGCTATGGCAGAGTGTGAGGATAGGGGGTTCATTGTGCAAGGTGAGCCCCTGGTGACTTCAAAAGGTGAAAATAGCATCTCTTTGCTTATGAGCAGGCTTGGCCAGGCCTGCCTAATGGGCCCTTCTGCACCCACACACATTCCTGTTCTTGTATCTTGCAATGTTAATGGTACACTCTGGGCAGAATAAATTGCAGAAGGTATTAGATTTTCCTCCAAGCACAAGAAATACAGCTCAGGGGGAATATGTGTATTAAAGTAATCCTTGCTGCACTGTCTTCACGCCTCCTGCCTGTCTCCTTTATTATGCTGTTTGGCCAGGATTCCCACAGAGGTATGTCTTGGAAGGAAAATAAGATGTGGCACACCATCAGCTGAGGCAGTTCTCCAGGGATCTCTTCCCCATGGCAGCAGCAGGCAGGCACATGTGGGTATTGTGGAAGTGAACCAGGATCCGGCTCAGCTCCCAGCCCCCTGACCTCTCCCTGTCTCTGCAATGCCTTGTGCTCTTGCAGGGAAAACTTGCCACTTGCCTCCCTTCTGCTTCTGGTGTGGCCATGAGGAATTTAAAGAGACCTTCAAGCAATGCTGGAGCAGGGGTCTGGGCTTACCCCAGTGTTATGCAATGTATTGTTCAGGTTTTTATCGTGTCACCAGAGGAAACTTGGACGAGGTCTGAGATTTGGATTGAACCCAGTAGGCAGATCAAAACTCCAGGGGTGAGAAACCCGCAGGAGCCAAAACCAAAGCAAAGTGATCACAGGAGATGCTTGGGCAGTGAAACCACTGAATTTTGCATAGCTCCAGAAAGGCGATCTAGTAACAGGCTAGATTACAGCTAGGGGCCAGGAGATACCACTTCTATTCTTGGATCTTGAATGGCTTTCCTCAGTGACCTTTAGAAAGTCAAGTAACCTTTCTCTATCTTAGTTTCCTCCTTTGGGAATAATACTGTTACTTATGCCTGGAAAGTATGTTGCTATGCTTGCATAGAAGTTATTTGGCAGTGTTCTGCAACCTGTACCGTGGAGGAGCTGCACATCTAGACCTCTCAGGAAGCTTGCTTTCCAGTACATGATGCAGCAGTATGACTTGTGATCCACTGGGAAGCCATCTAGCATGTCAAGCTTCATCCTCGCGGCAGGGATCACACAAGACAGGAGTCGCAGCAGTACGTTGCAGCTCTGCTTTCTGCAAGGGTTTGCTAAATTGCTTGTTGGTTACAGCAGTGTGTCCCTGTGCCTCATTCAGAGTTGCTGATGGATGTTGTGAAGCAATGGAGAGCTTGTGATCTGTCAGTCAGTTCCTCCTGGCATTGCGTTTGTGGAGCAGAAGAGAGGTCACAGTACTTTACCAGTGCAAGGTACAAGGTTAGCTGGGGAGGAACTTGAGAGTGTGAGTTTCTCCTGAGCCTGCTGGAACACAGAGATGCTCATGACTATGCAGTCTGAGACAACACTGGAGCAGGTGTGTACAGCCTGACCCCCAAAAGCTCCAGGTGTACCTGAAGGCGGTGTTCCTGGCTATTCTGCTTATATGGAATACCGAGCAAGAAAGATGTAGCTGCTCTGCAGGTGTCTGCTGGAACACATGCAGGTAAAGGTGGGAGGAGCAGAGTTAACACAAGGAATTACAGTATTAGTCTCTCTCACATCACAAGTGCTTCATGGGCACGTGCTTTTGCCACTTGTCTTGAGCAGCACTGGCTCCAGAGCAGGTCAGGCAGCTGAGCACCACGCTGCTGCTCTGTGCCTTAGTGGGGCAGTAACAATTTGGGTACAGGGCTGTGAGGTGATGCAAGGGGGATGGCAGGTTCTGCTCTTCTCTCTTCCAGGGAGCTTTGTCAGCTTCATCTGCCCTGAGACAAAAAAATGGGCCCTGACTTGTGCCTGTCCCATTGCTTGAACCTGGAGAGCTCAGATGTGGGAAAGCAGCCACATGGCAGTGGTTTATGGGTGAGATTTTACAGACCACTGCGGGGAAAGCCAATGGCTCCAGCACCAGAATAAGGAAAGAATAAAGGCCGGGGAGATGGGCTTTGTGTGGAAAATAAAATCAAACTTTGTTAAGTGACATTCACTGGGGTAAGAAAGTTGTAATAAGAGTTTCTCAGATGTTGGGCTTAGGGATATACCGTGATTACCAGTTAGGGATCAGGAGTAGTTCTTACCTAACATTAGGTATACTATTGCATATCTACAGGCAGGATTTCTGCTTTCACCTGGCTTTTTACTCTTCCCCGTTGGAGGCAGGATGTTCAGCTAGCAATCTGCTCATGTGAGCTGTCCCTGGTTTTCTGTATTCCTGCAATAAGGAAACCCGAAGTACCTATAGCAATGTACGGTGGCTTAGAGACGTAAACCTGGATGGTGATTTCAATTTGGTGTGAACTGGGGGAGAACAGTTCACAGTGTGAATGCGGAATTTACAGGGCCGGTATGGTTTAACAGATGAGGTGCTGCAGGCACTCTAGGAAGGCACTGTGAAGAGCAGAGCTGTTTTCTGGCTCAGGCTCTGCCTGCTGTACGCCTTGAAGAAAAGTTACTTTGCCAACTGGAGCCGAACCGAGGCCTTTCCTTGCAGGAAGAGGCTCTCTCCATCCTGCACTCAGCATCCCATGGGTGCTCTTTCCCTCCCTCGTTATCCCGCCCCTAAGCATCTCCACCGCGGTGACGCCGGCGGGGTCCCTTTAAGCGGAGGCCCCGCCCGTCCCGGCCCGTGCTGCCAATGGGCTCCGCGCCGTTCGTTACAAGTTGCGCGTCGCGGTGCGGGCGCGGGGCGCCCGGGGGCAAGCGGAGCGCGATGCGGTGCTGGTGCTGGTGCGGGGCAGTGCGGGACCCGCCTGGGGCGAGCGGAGCCCGGGGCCGCGGCCCGCAGTGAGCGCTGCGCCCCATGCCGCGGGTCCCCTGCTGCACGCTGCCAGCTGTACCTCCCTCCTTTATGAAGCGGGGCTGAAAGCGAAGGAACTTCGGTGTTTATTTGTAGGCTTTGAAAGGGGTTCCCTCCCCCTGCCGCCCCCGAGGGCTGTAGGACAGAGCGCGGTGCGGAAGAGAGAGGGGCACAGCTGGAGCGGGCTGTCCCCAGCCTCACCCCGCCGCCGCGTACCTGGGGTGCTGGATGCGAGCTCTGCGGAGCTCCTCCGAGCGCAGCAGCGGCGGCTCGGCAGATGTAAGAGGCGTGCGTGTATACTTAACCCTTTCTTGGCTCCTCGGATTTGTACCATGCTGAAGATCCTCACCAAAAAGCTCAGGAACCAGAGTTTGAACGAAATTCAGCCTTTCCAGCTAAAGGTAAGAACAGCTCGTTTTGTCACTGTTGTTTTTTGTACCCTCACTTAACTAATAACAGGGCTTTGGGAAGCTAGTAACTTTCAGTGTTTATTATGCCAGGCCGGTTTCCTCTCAGCCAGTGTGCTTAGTTGAGCTGGCCTAGGCTGTGTTCCTCTTACTGAAGTCCTGTTTCTTTGAGGCTTATTCTGCACAATCCAATAGGTAATACAGAAAGGTGAATAAAGGTAGATGTATTTGTCCTTTAGAAGTATTTACTTTTAACAGGGTTCATGTTTAACTACATAGGCATTTGCCTGTCTGTGTAGTTACCTCTGTATGTGTGCAACCTCCCAGCCCTTGCCAGGCTAGAACCCCACTGTGCCAGGTACTATACAAACATGGTTTGCCTAAAATGCCTTTTGGCTCATTATTTGCTTTTCTCTCTTCTGGTCCTAAAGGACAGATTCTGAGCTGGAGCTTACAGGCTGGCTCCCTGCACTGACCCCTGGCTTTCCACACTCTGCTTACATCCTTTCTTAGGGCTCAAAAGAAAAATGAGGATCACAAATTCAGGATAAGGAATATCTAAGCCTTTCCTACCAAATGCAAGGAGGAATTTTTGAGCCATATGCAATGGGATAAAATGGAGTCATGGGGAGTGAGTTACAGAAAAACATCAGATCCTGACTTGGCAGAAGTGTTGTGAACTCAGGGATACCCCCTGTAATCAGCAGAGCTGCTCTGGATTGGCATTGGTACTGTGGGAAGTGCAGTGTCTGGCCACAAATCAAAGAAGGGATCTGGGAAAAGTAGCAGCCCTCGTTGCGTGAGTTGGGGGCTGGGGATTCCTAGACCAGGCTCTAGTGGTCTTTTGTATGTGCTGCACAGGGCGGATTGCTGGGTGGCTGCGCTTCTGCACACTCACTGGCTGATGGCAACTTGGTTAGAAACAGTGCTGATGCTTCCTCAAAGTTTGCTGTGTCCGTGAACTCCTTCCTCTGGGGATTGCACGTTCTATGGTTCTTGGAGGAGGCAGGATTAGACTTTAGTTTTGGAAATAAAGTCAGTGCTTTAGGCTGTAGTGGACCTACCCAGTGCAGTGAATCTCTGCAGAGACTGGGGGGGATTTCTCTTGAACACTGTATTTCAGGACCTTGTTTGTCTCTTGGAACTCTTTGGAAAGATCTCTGGGGGTATATACAGCCTTTGGGATGCTGGGAGGCATGAAGACCTGCAGGAGTGGGTGTCTGCAGCCATTTTGTCCATACTAGTGCCAGGGGTTTGTGCTGCAAACAGGTTGCCTGCATTTTTGCTGGCTCAGTAGAGGAAAGAGGTTTAATCTTACATTGGCTCTTGCAAGGCTGATGCACAGAGCAACAGAGGTCTCGTTGCGGCCTGCTTTGGGGAGTGGTGCAATGGCTGGTATACATGTGTATGGGCAGAAAGCCAGACTTTCAGACTCTGGGTTTATGTATGTTTTGTGGGCCTTTGGGGATCTTGTGGAGCCTTGTGTCAGCATCTATAATCATTTAACATTAACACCGTGCAGTGCTCTGTCTTAGGCACTGGGCCAGATCTTGCAGGTGTGGACAGTGGGTAGGTGTCACAAGCAGCAAGTGCTGTGGGAGCTTCCCATGGCTCACTGCACAGACCCTCTGACAAGGCCAGGTGTCCTGTACCATCTCCCTCTATTGCCCTCAGATGGCATGGACCCGACTTCTGCCTTCTCAACTTCCTCATGCTGGTCTGTGTCTCTACAGGTTTATATATTTGCTGGCACGTGTTACGTGCATTATTTAAAAGGTTCAGTTTGCTGTCTTGAAACCTAGTGAAAAGTTAGTCAGGTGTGAGCATAAGTTCAGGTCTATAGTAGTGTAAGTGGAGAAAGAGCATCTAATTTGGGTAGAATAAAAACCACCCAAACCAGGAGCTTCCAGAGCTTTAAAAACGGTGTGCTTAGCTGCTCTTCTCCTTCATTACACATTTGCTTTTCTACTTTATGACCTTTGTTGGAAGTTCCCGAATTCAAGGAAAAGCAAGCTGCTGTTTCGTTTCCAGCTTGCAACAGTATTACCATTAGGCAAAGTCCCAGGAGAGTGTCCTTGGATAAACTGTCAACTCATTCTTGGAAGCTTAGGAGGTTTGACCAGCCTTGGATTGTCGGCCAAGCTTTGGAAATCTTGTCAGGATGAAATTTCTGCCCACTCCAAGGGCCTCGCTTTGGTACCATGTGTGCTGAACAGGTTTAATGTTGCTGTGATCGGTCTTCCTACGCTTCCCCTCCGTGGAGAAGCTGAGAGGCTGCCATTGCCTCCTGTAAGTGACACGAGGAAATACACAAGGTTTGGGTGCTGATACAATGAACTTTTCTTCTTTTTGTTCCCTATTAAAGTTGGCCTTTAGGCAGTTGACAGCTAACACTGCTCAGAGGGCTTTGACTCAAGAGGTCTGATGATTGGTGTTGCTGAGGTTAGTGTCTCTTTTATTGTGCTTTCACCAGAAGTCCCCATAAGGGGAAGGGAGGGATTGACAGACTGATGTTTTACCTGCTGTTGGGTTAGTGCTGCCAGCAGTTTGTGGTAGGGGTGGCTGGGCTGTGAGGTGTGGTAGTTAGGGTTCAAATCTGAACCCTTGGAAGTCAGGTCCTGCTGACCTTGCTGCCTGCTCACTGGGCACTTGTTCCACTGTAGCAGAGGCGGGTAAGTGGCAGCATGTCTGTTCCTAAGCTGTTACGGTTCATAGTCCAGCCAAGTGGCTTAGAGTCCTTAGCTGCTGTGGCTAAAGCATGAATTGTTGTAGAATGGTTTGGGTTGGAAGGGACCTTAGTGCTCATCTAGTTCCAACCCCCTACCATGGGCAGGGACACTTTCCACTAGACCAGGTTGCTGTCCAGCGTGGCCTTGAGAACTGCCAGAGTTGAACCAGACACAGCTCCTTGTGGCAACGTGTGCCAGTGTCTTTCCACCCTCACAGGGAAGAATTTCCTAATCTCTAAATCTCCCCTCTGTCAGTTTAAAGCCCCATTGCCCCTTGTCCTATCCCTACAAGCCCTGTATAAAGTCCCTTTCCAGATATCTTGTAGGTCCCTTTAGCTGCTGGAAGCTGCTCTAAGGTCTCCCCAGAGCCTTCTCCAGACTGAATAAGTCCAACTCTCTCAGCCTGTTTCCATAGGAGATGTGCTCCGTCCTTCTGATCTTCTTTGCGGCCTCCTCTGAACTTGCTCGAGCAGGTCCACATCCCTCTTGTCTTGTTGCCCCCAGAGCTGAACACAGAACTGTAGGTGAGGTCTCACGAGAGTGAAGTACAGGGGGAGAATCACCTCCCTTGACCTGCTGGTCATGCTGCTTTTGATGCAGCCCAGGATATGGTTGGTTTCTGGGCTGTGATTGCACACTGCCAGGTCATTTTGGGCTTCTTGTCAACCAGCACCTCCAAGTCCTTCTCCCCAGGTCTGCTCTCAATCTGTTCTCCTCCCAGCCTGTATTTGTGCTTGGGATTGTCCCAGCCCAGATGTAGGATCTTGTACTTGGCCTTGTTGAACTTCATTAGGTTTGCACTGGCCCTCCTCTCTTGCCAGGCCCGTCCAGGTCCCTCTGGATGGCTGTGTGTTGACTGCAACACACAGCTTGATGTAGTCAGCAAACTTGCTCAGGGTGCATTGCTATTGAGTACCGAGTCCTTAGGAGTATTCTCCACTGACACAGTGAGCTTTCTACTAATGAAAAGTCTTACACATCCCTGCACCTTGGGTTAGGGTTTTCTCACACAAATGTGTTTCTTCCAAATCCCTCGTTAACTCTTGTGCCATTCACATTTGTGTAGTAGCTAAAGTGTAGGCGTCTATTTTCTAACCTTTGCTTGCAAGCAGGCTCCTTGGGGCTGGGAGCATCTCGTTGGAACAAGTCTGTGCATTGCCAGTCAAACTAAGCCCTTAATTTGTGGCCCTAGGTGTTATCAGAATGAAGTACTTGGATTGTGGGGTGTTAAAAAAGTAGCTGGCTGGAACATGCAGCTGAAGAAAACTGAGCACTTTAAGGGTGGCAATTCCATTCCAACTTTGCTGTCGACACAGACAGCTTTGGAGGTGATACAATTGATGTTCTAATCCAAAAAAGTTGTTAAATTACTTATGTGCTTGGCATGTTCCTTTCTGTCCTTGCAGAGGTAAGACAGACATGTTTGTCATTTTGTTAATGTTCATCAGCAAAATGAAGTCATAGGTGAGGCTGTTCTGGTGACATGGAACATGGGTGTCTGTTGCACCAGGGAACTGTGGATGAGGCACTAACAAAGCCACTGTATCAGCTCTCTTCCCATGCCCTTGCAGCTCGCATGTGTGCGTGCACAGCACTGGGGACCAGCAAGTCATGTTGGTTATTTTCTACTGGCACCTGTATCTGGAATCAGCTGTGAGATTCCAGTCTGGCCAGCCTGGGAATCATCCTGATCCTTCCTATATGAAGGGGTTTGCTTGGCTGTGCAAAGTGAACCACAGGCTTGCAGGCAGTGACTTGAGTCACTGTCCTGGTGGCAGCTGGTTATTCTGCAGAGCCAGGAGTGCGTGATTCAAGGGTTTTTTCCTCCTCAGACTAAAAGAAGAGTGAAGCAGAGTCATTATTATTGGTGCACAGTAGGTGTGCTTTCAAAGATCTGTGTAAGGGCTCATGCTTTGTATGAATGAGGACAGATTAATTTCCTTCTTTCTTTGGGCTGATTGCTTGTCACGTGCTCAGCTAGCCTCTGCTCTTCAGGCTTGCTGAAGACAGCCTGGCGCAGTGAAAATGTACCTTTGTCTGTCTCCTGTGGTGTATGAAGGTTTTGTCTCCTTCACGGGTTTTTCGGCACATCTCACCAAACAGGTTCAATCCTCCAGCTTTGCTTTTCCTCCTATTAGCACCTGGTAAGGTTAGATCCTTCTGGTTTGCCTTGCTCTCGCTCAGGAGGGACACAAGCACTTGCATAAATGTGTGTAAGTACAGTTTTAGCTATTGGAGTATCTGTGAATATGCCTAAAGTTAGGC